TTTGGAAGAGGCAGTGATGTGTTGTTTAGCCACTGTCTCACACAGTGTTGGGCACGTTACTTCAAAAAAGTAATTAGTTATAGTTACTAGTTACTTCTCCCAAAAACTAATTTAGTTACTCCGCAATAAAAGTAACTAGTTACTAGTAAAAGTAACTATTGCGTTACTTTTGCATTTTTTGGGCCGGTGACCCACACCACCCGGCCCCAACCTTCTTGCGGGGCTTCTAAACCCCGTCAGATAGCGTTCCCCCTGCTTAACATGGGGGGAACGGTATCTGATGGGCTTCTAAACCCCGTCAGATAGCGTTCCCCCTGCTTAACATGGGGGGAACGGTATCTGATGGGCTTCTAAACCCCGTCAGATAGCGTTCCCCCTGCTTAACATGGGGGGAACGGTATCTGATGGGCTTCTAAACCCCGTCAGATAGCGTTCCCCCTGCTTAACATGGGGGGAACGGTATCTGATGGGCTTCTAAACCCCGTCAGATACCGTTCCCCCTGCTTAACATGGGGGGAACGGTATCTGATGGGCTTCGAAACCCCGTCAGATAGCGTTCCCCCTGCTTAACATGGGGGGAACGGTATCTGATGGGCTTCGAAACCCCGTCAGATAGCGTTCCCCCTGCTTAACATGGGGAACGCTATCTGATGCGGTGTAAATATCATCAGGCTGCATTACCTTTACTCATGGGTTTGAAGTTGTTTAAAGGAGAAGTTCGGTTTTTTACACTTTAAGCCCATTTTCTGTAGTGTCCAGGATGAAATCGAATGAGGTGCTAACGTCTCTGTTAAACACTTTAAAAAACTCTGAAAATGGAATACAAAAGGTGGATTCTTGATTCTCAATGTCGGAGTACACAGAGTGAAGCGAAGAGACTACAACTGTGTAAACAGGCCCCATTTCCGTTTCCGGTGGCAGCGGAATATTGACTATTCCAACAGAACTCAATGGGATTTACAAAATGCTAAATAAAACACTACAGGAACGTTTTTTCTTTACGAAACTTTTTTTGGAACGTCATTGATCAGCGCTGACGACCCGGTGAGTAGCATATTTTAAAAAAAGAAAGTTTAAGGTTGTTTTAAGGACATTATCGGACGTGCTCTATGCAAGCCATTCTAAAGCAGCCAGGGGTGGATTCTAAATGAGCCAAAAAGCAGAGACAGGACCAATTGTCAAACTTTTGGTGTCGATCATTCGATTTCATCCTGGACACTACAGAAAATGGGCTTAAAGTGTAAAAAACCGAACTTCTCCTTTAACAGGGTGTTCAGATCTGGTGAGTCTATGAAATTAATAACTGGGGATGTCTAATTCTGAAATCCTGTGTGTTTGGGTTGTTATAGAAACTGCAACATCTATCTGTCTGTCTGTCTGTCCGTCCGTCCGTCCATCCGTCGCATTTTCTCCCTTTCTCCATATAGGCTAACATTTGATCGTTCACGATCTCCGTAGTTCGACTGTTACACGCCTTTAGTGTGCATGCGCGTTCCCCTGTCGCTTGCGCGGTGAATGGTGCCACCTGCGCTGTGCGGAGATGCAGGGGAAAGCGTATGTGATGGGGAAACGGAGCTCGACGTAACAGCGGTATTTCCATCTGGAAAACGCTGTTTTGCTGCTGGAGTCCTCCTCACTCTCCATCTCTCTGTGTGTGCTGCCAGCAGAAACACCCACCTACCCAACTGACAGACCTAATCTCACCATACATCAGCCAATCTCATCCTCCCCTCTCTCATGACAAGGTGCACATGAGTCCTATCATGAAAAAAAGGTTCATTGTGCGACCTGAGTTACGTGCAGTAACGGGGTGTCGGCAATGGTAACTGCGTTATAGTTACAGTAAGAGTAATGATTTTGATTACTCGTTACTAAAAAAAGGTAACTGCGTTACTAACGCCGTTACTTTCAACGCTGTTACTCCCATCACTGCTCTCACATTACTATTCTGGCTTAACTGCCTGTATGATCAGGGGTTGATGTTAAGGATTTTTACCACTTGCCCTTTGGGCAAGTGACTTTCACATTTCATTTGCCCAGAAACAAATTTTACTTGCCCAGTATAATGTTTGATAAATACAGTTCCTAATATTCATTTTAGTATATATATCAATGAAACATGTTTGTTTTTTTAAATGTTTTTGTAATTTAGTATTTTATAAGTTTACAGGTTCCTGGTGTGTATATGCATGCCTCAGATAATGAACTCAAGCTTATATTACAGACTTAACATGCTTTTCAATCCTTCCTGCACATTCTTTTCAAACTAAACTTTGTTTAAACTGTTGTGTGCTTGGAAAAATATAAATTGTAATGTTAAAAGTCTAAAAAAAAAACAGGTTAAAAACTTCAGATAAATCACAAGACAGAAGTCACAGATGTCACAAATGAATAACTTTTATTCACGGTATGCTTATACAAGATGATACTATTAATATATCGTGACTTTTCTAGAGAATCATTATACATAGTTATTTTATACAGGGTTTCCATAGTCTTACATCATTTCAGACTGACTTTTAACTGACTATGGACTAGTTTTCCCTGACAAAATAAATGCAGAAACAAGACAATAACATAACAGGTCACCAATTTAACTTGTTTAGCTCTATAAAATTTAAATGCACCTCTCCAATTTCTAAGAGAAAAAAATTTTATGAATATTTTTTAATGTATGACCTGAATCACTGTACAAAAGACTGCCTTAAGATAGCCATTATTACACTGTTCGCATGGCATACAATTATGGCAATTTTCCTATTACATGACTAATAATTTTTAATCTAGGGTTATCTGGGTGGTGGGTGTGTCTGATTTGCGCCAATTCCCAAGTATCACGCCATCTAGTGGAAAAGAATGTGTACAAAACAACAAAAATGGCGCCGGCAACGCATGTGGGTACGTTTTTAAGCGAGTGTCGGTGATTTAAAAGTAATTTTGAGTGATAAAAATTTTTCTTTTGTGATCATTGCACTTGCCCGGCGGGCAAATGGAATGAAATTTGTACTCTCCGGACAATAAAAACTACTTGCCCCAGGCGATCGGGCAATGGTTAACATCGAGCCCTGATGATGTTCTGCAGAACAAATGCCTGTAACTCTGGCATAATAAGTCGTATGGATGTCATTCCTGCGCCGTTTAATTCGCAACGGATAGGGAAATGAAGATTTAGGGCTATTTCTGTTCAAAATGTTTTTGAAAAGACTCAGCACTCTGTGAAAAAAGGAGGGACATTGGCAAAAAAATGCATGAAAAATGTTTAAAAGTTTGTGTTGAACTATGTTTAATACATCAAAAACCATAAAAGATAAAGAAATAATGTTTAGACGGTAAGACTCAACAGGCTTTGATGAATAAATATGCCAACTTTCATGTTTCTATCAAAAACCATTTGGCCACGATGTAAAAATGTGTTTAGTTTTGAAAGATAAATGATATTGAAGAAATTCCTTCCATGTGAGTGCTAGAAGGGTCTGAAGATGTAGTATGCCGGTGTTCTGTCAGATAGCCATGCGTTGTCAGATCGTCATACGCGTATGACAAACTGATGGCTATATCTGTCAGATCAGCATACGTTGTCAGATAGTCATACGCTTAGCTCAGACATGTATACGTTGTCATTACCATATGATTTTATTTAATCAGCAACATAGAATCATGACGTAGATCATCATACACTTTGTTATTAACAGTTATATGGCATCCTGACTTAGCGGTTAAGTAGGTTCATGAGTTTTACACGGGCCTGTGTTGTAATTGACTGCAGCTGCAGCCAGACCTGCTTTAAATACACTTTGAAACCATGACAACGCATGTATATTTATCTAGTTATCATATTATGTCATATTATAAACAATTTAATGACTTATTTTCGTCATAACTTGTTGCGTATGCTGAACTGACAACTCCACTGACGATCTGACTTCTTAATGCGCATGCGCGGGCATGAGTACTGACTGCATGTGTGCTATCCTGACAGCGTATGGCTATCTGACAGAACAACGGCAATTTCACCATATTTTATATTTAATCATCTTTATTAAAACGGTGTTAGATCGTCATAAAGCTGCTAATGTAATAACACTTTATTAGCCACTATATGACTTCCTGATGCATCCCTTAACCTGTCTGATTGCCATACACTTTGTTATTAGCCACTGTATGACTTCCTGATGCATCCCTTAACCTGTCTGATTGCCATACACTTTGTTATTAGCCACTATATGACTTCCTGATGCATCCCTTAACCTGTCTGATTGCCATACACTTTGTTATTAGCCACTGTATGACTTCCTGATGCATCCCTTAACCTGTCTGATTGCCATACACTTTGTTATTAGCCACTGTATGACTTCCTGATTAATACCAATGACATCAGTTGTATGATGTACTATATTTAATGTAGAACATTTTACTTCTGTATTTTTAATAATCCACACTGTCACTGGTGGGGTAAAACTGTTTCATTTAAGTTACACTTTTTACATTTGAACATGTCACCCATGTCTGTGGCACATTCTTTGTGTGTCCACCTTGAGCAGCAGTCACACTGTATCTGTGAAGTGGACAGAAAAAGAAAACAGTTATGAGTAAGCAAGTGTAATGTGTTTGAAGCGTTAAGTTGTACAGTTTAGTTGTTTACCATGTCAATGATTTTCTCTGAAGCATTACAGTGAAGCATATTGCATTCCACACAGCACTCTTCCACCTTGTCTGGGAACAAATAAAGGCATTTAGAGTGTACTTTACCAAAAATAGTCAAGTACTACCTCTTTATATTCTGTTGACAAGCCATCATGTTATACTAGTACATAACAAAAAAATACTGCAATTTAGTATGTCATATATCTTTGGATTTTTTTAATGCTTTGGACTGTTCCGGTATAGCCTAAGGGAAAATTTGTTCCGTTTGGAATGAAAAATTCGTTGATATGCTCCTAAGCCATCTTGAGTTTTTGATTGTTAGAATATTAACAAAACAGATCAACAGATTTCACACAGACTTCCACAGTTCCCAGAACAGTGGAACTGGTTCTTAATACCCAACATTAATAAAATTTCATGTGTTCTGACCAAAAAATTCTTAGAATCATAGCTGTCCAAAGCTATAAATCTCTGAACATTCAGCCAGCAAACTGGAAAACAAGACTTCTTTGTAATTGTTCTTTCACCTCGATGTTGATACAGTGTGGTAGCGATGTGCAGTCTGGCTTGGGATATGTCTTTGGGTCCTGTTTGCACTGCCTGCAGCCCTCCCATTTAAACATATATTTCTGCAAACTGAAAAAATTATGCCTTTTAATGTAATAATTCCATGGATTTCAAAACATTCCATCTGTTCTTTGTACCTTCAAAACCAAGACCCCACAACTGCTGGAGTCCTTCTGCAGCATATGCGGCATATGGCGGACACTCCAGCTTCTCCGGCCAGCACCTTTTGCTTTTAGGAAGTTTCTGTGCATTTGCAGAAATATTTAATTATAGGACATTGTAACAATAACAAAATACATAATGAATGAATGATAAAGACATGAATCAGATCACCTCCAGTTACGGAGAAGCTTTCTGTCATACATTGTTTCGTTCCCCATAGGGTCTATAACTACTAGCTCTTGGTGATTCATCACGACAATCTGTTGGAATGTTTGGAAGATAGATAAGACAGACAGACAGACAACCTCTGTCACCTTCCCATGCTGCCCAGGGAACATCCGATTGTGACATATAGACATATTCACGTGTAAATAAAGTTAAATAAATAAATTTTACATACCACCAAAAGCCAGTGACCTCCCACATTTACAGGGCACATCCAAATGGAGGCTTCAGGTAAAACCATCTTTTGAAATTGCAAATAATAAGATTAATTTGCATTCATTCTCTCAAGATGATTTAAAAGTGAATAATTACCTTTTGAACAGCCCGATATTGCCCAAGATGAAATACAGAAGATGCAATTACTGCATCCATTCTGTATACAGGTATCTGAAATGTAATATAATTTCAAAGAAATATGTGAAACTACAAAGAGTGGATTAAATTTAACCTTAAAACATGTTGTACCTTGGTCTTCTGAAGTGTCACGTACAAATATGCATCTATAACCTGTTTGACAAAAAAACAAACAAACATAAATTTCTGGATGGACTGCCTTGTGAAAATATAAACTTCCCAGAACATGGAGTCTTACTTCATCTGACAGCCAGCCATGTCCACAGAGTGTTCTAAAAGATGTGTCATACAATTTATATGGGCTTCAACTTGCCCTGAGTCTTTCAAAGACCAAAGTTGAACTACTGCAACAAAAACAGAAATTGCTCTTTTAAAAACTTATACATCTGAAAAAAGCAACACAACTTCAGAGGAAGTTTTGCAGACAAGACCAGGAACAGGTCATTGAACCAACATGCAAAAATTGATCTACCGATCAGAACCCATGACCAACAGGCCAGAACAGAAAACTAGAAAACTTTGTGACTACTGCACCTTGCTGCTGAATAGGACTCTGACACATCATAGAATGAGCTGAGGGAAACAACTGAGACAACTTGGTAGGGTTAGAGGGAGAGGTCACTGGAGGGGGAGAGGGAGAGGTCACTGGAGTGGGAGAGGGAGAGGTCACTGGAGAGGGAGAGGTCACTGGAGGGGGAGAGGGAGAGGTCACTGGAGGGGGAGAGGGAGAGGTCACTGGAGGGGGAGAGGTCACTGGAGAGGGAGAGGTCACTGGAGGGGGAGAGGGAGAGGTCACTGGAGGGGGAGAGGTCACTGGAGAGGGAGAGGTCACTGGAGGGGGAGAGGGAGAGGTCACTGGAGGGGGAGAGGGAGAGGTCACTGGAGGGGGAGAGGGAGAGGTCACTGGAGGGGGAGAGGGAGAGGTCACTGGAGGGGGAGAGGGAGAGGTCACTGGAGGGGGAGACTTCACTGGAGGGGGAGAGGGAGAGGTCACTGGAGGGGGAGAGGGAGAGGTCACTGGAGGGGGAGAGGGAGAGGTCACTGGAGGGGGAGAGGGAGAGGTCACTGGAGAGGGAGAGGTCACTGGAGGGGGAGAGGGAGAGGTCACTGGAGGGGGAGAGGGAGAGGTCACTGGAGGGGGAGAGGGAGAGGTCACTGGAGGGGGAGAGGGAGAGGTCACTGGAGGGGGAGAGGGAGAGGTCACTGGAGGGGGAGAGGTCACTGGAGGGGGAGACTTCACTGGAGGGGGAGAGGGAGAGGTCACTGGAGGGGGAGAGGTCACTGGAGAGGGAGAGGTCACTGGAGAGGGAGAGGTCACTGGAGAGGGAGAGGTCACTGGAGAGGGAGAGGTCACTGGAGGGGGAGAGGGAGAGGTCACTGGAGAGGGAGAGGTCACTGGAGGGGGAGAGGGAGAGGTCACTGGAGGGGGAGAGGGAGAGGTCACTGGAGAGGGAGAGGTCACTGGAGAGGGAGAGGTCACTGGAGAGGGAGAGGTCACTGGAGGGGGAGAGGTCACTGGAGAGGGAGAGGTCACTGGAGGGGGAGAGGGAGAGGTCACTGGAGAGGGAGAGGTCACTGGAGAGGGAGAGGTCACTGGAGAGGGAGAGGTCACTGGAGGGGGAGAGGTCACTGGAGAGGGAGAGGTCACTGGAGAGGGAGAGGTCACTGGAGAGGGAGAGGTCACTGGAGGGGGAGAGGGAGAGGTCACTGGAGGGGGAGACTTCACTGGAGGGGGAGAGGGAGAGGTCACTGGAGGGGGAGACTTCACTGGAGGGGGAGAGGGAGAGGTCACTGGAGGGGGAGAGGGAGAGGTCACTGGAGGGGGAGAGGGAGAGGTCACTGGAGGGGGAGAGGTCACTGGAGGGGGAGAGGGAGAGGTCACTGGAGGGGGAGAGGGAGAGGTCACTGGAGGGGGAGAGGTCACTGGAGGGGGAGACTTCACTGGAGGGGGAGAGGGGGAGAGGTCACTGGAGGGGGAGAGGGGGAGAGGTCACTGGAGGGGGAGAGGGAGAGGTCACTGGAGGGGGAGAGGGAGAGGTCACTGGAGGGGGAGAGGGAGAGGTCACTGGAGTGGGAGAGGTCACTGGAGGGGGAGACTTCACTGGAGGGGGAGAGGGAGAGGTCACTGGAGGGGGAGAGGGAGAGGTCACTGGAGGGGGAGACTTCACTGGAGGGTTAGGGGGAGACAACCGAGAGAACTTGGCAGGGGGAGATTGAGGACGAGAGCGAGACAACAGGGAAAAGCACTGGATGACCTTGCCATGGACCTGACCGTCTGTCTTTGTCTGCAGTGGGGTTTCTGCTTTGCCTGCGTACCTAATCACTGTCTCCCTTTCATTCAACTTCTCACCTGAGATGAAACCCTCACCTGCATTTTGTCCCTCATTGCCTCTGTTATATGGCTTCAGACGACTCATGCTATGCTTTGTCTTGAGGACTTTTCCGGCCATTGTTTTCAACATCACAGTGCTCCCTATCACTTTATGGATAAAATAAGGTCCAGAGTAGTCTGCCTCCATCCTGGCACCTTTCCTACCCCTTTTTCTTATGTTGAATAGAAGAACTTCCTCCCCTTCTGTGAACTTGAAATTTTTGAATTTTTTTTGTGCCCGGTTTGCAAAAGCTTTTTTCATTTTTTTTTGAGCCAGTTCGACATTCTCTTCCACCTGGATCTTTGTGTCCCGCTGTCTGCTGTCTCTGTCTTTAATAATTTGGCTGTAGTCCTCTGGTAGGACTACAGAAGACAACTGTATTGTAAAAACACAAACACATTTACATTCAAAATATAACTAACAAGACATCAAACTTTGTATTAAGAAAGTTCAGAATGTCTGATGTAGAGGAGGAATTAAGTATTATCCGGGTACACAGTGCAATTACCAGCCAAAATCACCAATGCCTCTGTAGTTATAAAAATTGTGTTAAGTTAAAAAACTGAAATTAAAAGAAACTCAGTCTCACCTGTTATTTTCAGATTACTCATTCCTACTAATCTGGAAGACTGTAGTGTTTGTGTTGGCTAATGCAGGTATGTTTTTGAGGAAGTACTGAAATTTTAACTCGGATTTCTATGCAAAAACAGTACAAACCCATGTAATGTAACAGAATCGTACCGGCATGTCAACAGGAACTTCAGAAGGAAACCTAGCCTCTCTGCCATACATCAGAAAAAATGGCCAGTATTTCGTGGTGGTGTGGGTTTTCGACCTTAAGGAAAACAAAGTGGCCTCAAGGAACATGTCCCAGTCATCTTGCTTGTCGCTGACTAGTTTTCTCAGTGCCCTAGAAGAACAGTTTCATACATGTTCTAAGAACATACTCCAATTTGTAAAAGTTGCTTATGTGTTGCATTTTTTATGGTATGTCATAGCTATAAGAAGCTGTATATTGATACAAGTCTACAGAAAGATGTTGCAATGAAAAGAAACTATTAAGAGATATAAAACAAAACAAAAAAACATGTAAGTTTTCTAATAACTTTCTTACCGCTTAATGTTGTCATTTGTCTTTTCATCCAAGCCGTTGGTTTGAGGATGATAGGCGGCAGTGATGCTTCTTTGAATTGAAAGTAGATCACAGAGTCTACTGTTCATCTAAAACAACAACGAAGCACATTATTATAACCTTTTACATATACCGAGGCTTCACAAAAATATATGTAGTATTAAATGTGGCTTACTGTGTTCACAAATTCTCACCCCTGGTCAGTGAGAATACGCTGAGGACAGCCGTGCCGGTAAAATATAGAACATAATTTTTGGCAGACTTCCTCAGCGGTCTTAGTCTTGAGAGGGAAAGCCTCCACCCATTTAGAGAAGTAATCTGTAGCTGTCAGGATATACTGATTGCCACAAGATGTCAGGGGCATGGGACCTGTCAGATCAATTCCGATCAGCTCCCACACCCCTGACACCTGTTGGGGAAGACAACAATGTTATCAGCAACAATGTCCTAGAGGTGGTAAACTTCATGAATTGCTGTGGATGGTTACCTTCAGTGTTGGGAAAGTTCTCTTTCTACGTGAACTAGTTCAAAGTTCAGTTCACACATTTTAAAATGAACTAGTTCAGTTCATAGTTCACAATTCCAAAAAACGAACTAGTTCATAGTTCTTTTTTTTTCATTTTTTTTTCATATATTGCTCAATTACACCATAGCCTATTGTAGAACCACAGACAGCAATTATTTTATCAGTTGTAACACTGAAACTGTGCGTCAGATTTCATCTTCATATCCAGTTTTGAATCCTTATCCAACCAGGGTTTACATTAGCATTGAGGGGACAGCATTTCCCCATTGCTGCTTTAACGCTTTGTTGCTGTCCATTCACTTCGAACTAGTAGCAGCTGCAGCTTTCACACCTAGTATATTCTCAAAAACATCAGGAAAAATGTGCTGCTTGAATGGTCTTTTTTTATGAGGAATTATTAAAAGAAAAATAGGAAAGTAGTCTTTAAGGTGCAAATGTTTTTTTTTTTTTTTTTTTTTTTATAATTTTTTCCATTTGAAATTCCATTTCAATACATACTAAAAAGGAATCCTGGAATCCTGGAAAATTATACCAGGCAGGTTTAACAAACAAGTTACATGAATAGTAAAACCCTCAAGAACAGGGGTCTTCTTTTCCAGACCAAGGACCCCCAAACTGATGGCGAGATGGAGCGGGGACCCCCTATTTATATATATTGCATGAAATTGTGTCCTATAGTTACTCTATTACAGATGGAGTAATGTAAAGAAATTAATTTCTCCCTGGGATTATTTAAGTTTTTCTGATTCTGATTCCTGGTTGATGGGACAGGTGTTGTGAAGGAAACGGTGCCCAGCTTGAAAGAGCTCCTGTGTGTAGCTGAATGTGTGCATTGATGACTGAAAGACATCTTTTGTCTCCATTTATCTGTTTACTACAGTGTGTTGATTTCATGTTAATGAGTATTTAAAGACATTTCAATTAGTGGGGGAAAAAAATGCAAGGGGGGAATATAAAAATATCAACTAACCATGCAGACCCTCATGCAGTACCTCCGTAGACCCCCTAGGGGTCGCGGATCCCCTGGTGAAGACCTCCGCTCAAGAAGATTTTACTAACACAAACTGAGGGACCAGGCTGAGGTAGAAATTTAAGGTTACTGAAGTGCGGATTTTTTTACTGAAAGCCGGCGGGCAAACTTGTTGCCATCATCCTCACCGACCACCTGGTCATAAAGCTGTTTTAAGTCGCCTACATGCTGCTGTAGCTTCCACGCTGCATTTTGTTTTGATGACGCACGCGGCTGTAGGCTAAGACACTGGTAGCTGGTGTTGCCAGATTGGGTGTTTTTCCCGCTACATATTAAGGCTTGTTTATGGTGTGATTTAGCCGGGGTTTCGCCTGGAGGGCTTTATAGAAATCTGGCAACCTATTGAACGGAGTTGAACTGAGAGAGCGTGCCGTTCACAGACACCAGAATGAACGAATTCACAATAACGTTCATCAGGCAATAATGCAGTACGTTCAGTTCACGTTCGCCCAAAATATGAACGAGTTCATTAACTTTCGTTCAATGAACGCGTTCAGGCACAACACTGGGTGCAACCTTCTCAGAGCACAAGAGCACTGCTCTAACCTCTAAGCCAACACTCCCGCCCAAAGGTCTTTTCATGTAGAAATCTGCGTTTGTGTTTCTATCCAATCTCCTTTACCCTAATACCAGAACATACGTTAACCACATTGCAACCAGATGTCTGGATTAGTCTCATGATAAGCAGAGCATCAGCGTCGACGGTGGATCTGCAGTGCCTGGGTATGCCTGGGGCAGTGATTTTTAATTAATTAAGTTTCCACTTTCACAGCTCATCTCTCATTTTTCTTTTTAGATGTTTGATTCTTGCGTTATTTTTGTACCATCCTGACTTCTTAGAAATTAGTTCATGGATAATAAATAGTTGCCATCTCCATCAAGTCGCTTGTGATTTTTAGCACTAACGTCCAGTTATATTAAATGATTTTAACATCTACTGTAAGGTTAAAATTTCTTAATGCATATGATAAAATACTAACACATTATTTCTAAGTATGCATTTCCTTTATTGTTTATTAAAATTATATTCCATACACAAGTTATTATTCTTTAGCATAATTATTTAACTGACTCTCTTGGCAGCTGATGACTATGCACATCAAACTGCTGGACAACAGCTGGACAAACTCAATGTATCATTCTAGGGACAAACTGCTTTAAAGCTAGACATACTATACAGCAAAAAAAAAAAATGTATATATATTTAACTGCACACACCTTTCGCTCCTTATTATTCCAACTGCTGTTCATTTGATCAATAATGCAAAAGGGCTGTCGTTGAGTGGAATTAGGATTTTATTTTTGGCAAATCTTCACTAAGTCTATATTAGATGGACAGTGTGCAAACAATAAGCTCTGACAAAGGAGAAGCCACTGATGGGTAATGGTCTCAACAATGTTTTGCTAAGGCTGGCTCTGTATATATGGGTTACTTCTGATCCAGGGAAGGATCTCTGAACGAGTTTAATTGCGTTTCACTGTTTTTCAGCTCAGTTATTGTCTTTTTGAAAGCTTTGGTCTTAACAAAATTTACATTTATTCAGTGGCAATAAACCCATGTATGAAAGTGACCCAAATAATATGTTTTTTGTTTTGTTTTTGCAGGTTGCTTTGTAGAACGGACTACATATTTTAGTGTTTTGGAAGAAGAAGTTTGTTCCAATAAAATAAACAGAAATTATATATGCATATGCATATATATTTATGCATATATATATATATATTAGGGATGGAACGGTTTATGAAAACCGTCCGAACCGTTCGGTTCTACTGTCTCGGTTCGGTTTGCGTGTGTTACGTTCGGTTCATGCGCTGCTCCTTTTTCTCAGAGGCGAAGCGTTTACACTCCAGAGCAGTAGGAGGCGGTACTGCGACCAAAGCCAACAACCAGTAGTAAACAAGAAGAAGAAGCGAAGCAGCGTAGCCGAGTGTAGCAGGAAAAAATCAGCAGTGTTGCCAACTCAGCGACTTTGTCGCTATATTTAGCAACTTTTCAGACCCCTCCAGCGACTCTTTTTCAAAAAAGCGACTGGCGACAAATCTAGCGACTTTTCTGGTGTCTGCCGTGGGGCGCCACCCCCGTCCCAACCCCGTTCTCCCGCTTCCACAGGAGTCCCTCTCAGCGCTACAGTCAGAGACACAGCAGCGTCCAGACAGCAAATGAACCGCACGCATGCGCCGGGTTTGACGGCACAGGATGATCACTCTGGAGTCAGCTCCCTCAGTTGCTGAACCTGCCATAGAGAGCCTTGACCAACAAGACCATGATCCACTCTTTCTGTGAGCAGGCAAGCACAGCCTGTGTGTGTGCAGGGAATTCTTATTAGTTAAAAATAACAAAAAAACAATAATTACCATTTGCTAACATTGTCATTGATTCTTTATAGTCTTTTTTTCCCATTTAGATTGTTAATGTAATGTAAAAAAAAAATTATGGTTCAAAATGTTCATGTTTTAGCATGATTTTTAAGGTCCTTAGTGGACCTCAAGGGAAAAAATGTAAAGTTAAATAAAAAAAATATATATATATATATATTATGCAAATTAGGCAATGACGTCATTCAGCGACTTCTAGCGACTTATAGCACAGCCAATAGCTACTTCCCTTTCTGAGGAGTTGGCAACACTGAAAATCAGTTGTTGTGGAGAATTGTGTGGGTATGGCGAGTGGGAAAGAACAGGCGTTGGAAGACGCGCCAGCAGCACTGTATAGGTCTGCTGTATGGGATCACTTTGCATTTAGAGTGACCTACGATGACGGCGGAAAGAAAGTTGTGGATAAAAGTGCAACAGTGTGCAAGCATTGTGCAACACATTTTGTTTATGCTAACAGCAACATGACCAACATGTCATGCTAACTTTGTGTGTCCAACCTGACCTGTCAAGCGAGTCAGATAGGACTTGACAGAGTTGTGCAGTTCTGGTATGCCCATAGGATACCAGGTAAGTTTTGGTAATTTTTGTTTGTATGTAGTTTAAAACAACTGACTGTTTTGTTCCAGAATGAAACAAATAAATAGCTAAAAATCTTTACCAATTTTAGGCAGAGGGATCCCAAATCAACATGCAGTTGTGAGATGCCCAGCAAGAATTCCAGCAGAGCAGCTGCCCACTGCTGCTGAAGCACCATGGATGTATGAACAGGAGCTAGAGCCCTTCCTGACTTGGAGGTCTGCCTTTGGAGCTGACCCATTTTCACCAATAGAGGAAGACCAATGCCCTGTTGAACAACTATTTGGAGAGAGGTTTCCAGACATATCTCTTCTTTTAGGGGAGTTAACTATGTCTACAGAGGAGGCACTATTCTACTTGATAAGTGTTACTGAAAGACATGTGAGATAGATGTAATTGCTGAATGGATACTAATAAACATGAAGCTTATTAAAGGGCCTGTTTGAATCTGGAATTCCTTCATTAATTATGTCAAGAATTTGAATATATCAGAAGAGATTAAAAAAAGTGATTGAAAAACAAGTGAACTGCAGTTCCCAAAGACAATTTATTTGAGGACATAAACTGTTAAATGTAATTCTCAGTATAAGAAGTTAAGTACAAAATGTGATCAGTTGCATTGGAACCAATATTGTGTGAGGAAATCTGATGTTTTTCTTTTTGTTTGTATTTTATTTTGACTTCAACAATAACACTACTACTGCTGTGGTTATATTCTGTATATTAATTAAGATGTTTGTTTAAACTGCTAAAAATTTGAATACATTTTGGGAAAGAAAACAACAAAATGTTAATATTCGACTGTCTGAAAAAAACATTGGTTGTCACTCTAAAAGACACGGCATAAAGCAGACTTATTGACATAGCGGATACCTTTGCGTGCCGTGAAAATTAGTCATTTCTGA